CATTACCTGCAGGGATTTAACCTGGGAGCTCTTAAAAACAAAAGTGATGACCTTTGCTCAGTGAAACACTCAGTTTCCTTAGCTCCAAGTGTGTGTTTATGCAGGAAATAAAAATGTGATTTCAGTATGAGTGGATGTGTCTATGCTGGGCAACACAGACTATGAAGAGACATAGACTCCAGGGCCGGCTGGGCACCCCAGCATGATGGCACAGCAGCTTGGGCATCCATACGCATGTCTTCGTGGTGCTGCTCGTGGTGCCAGATGAATTAAATCTAGTGAAAAGTATAACTGCCTGTGCTTCCAGCTGTAGTGTGGATGAAGCCAATGACTGGTATAGATCCAGAAATCTCAAGACGGAGATTACACATCTGAGGAAGTTGTGGTCATGCTGTGCTCAGTAAAGCGCCAACCTGCTTATGTACTAATGACCTCTGTGAAGTTCAGCAAGAGCTCAGATTTAGGAGGGGCTCGTGATCCAGAGTCAACCTTCTCCAGGGATTGCTTGTGACTGTATGCTGGAGCAATACACTTCCTAAAATTCTAAGTAGTGGGGAGACATGAATTATTTCTCTGTCTTGGCACAAGTGACCATGAGGGAAGGTTGCTTTATTTCTCCATAGGATAAACATCTTTTAATATGGTATCTCATCTAGGCACAACTGAGGCCTCAGACCCCTGTGGCCTTCATACTCAGCTGAGGTAGTTGTGTGACCCTGTCTCAGCCTCCTTTTTTAATAATAGTCATTCTTTCTCCCCATCCTGCTGACATGCCTTCTCTGTTACTGCAAATATTATCGGAAGTTAGCATGGCAACAAGTAATGGATCTCATAAGCCTGGAAAACGACAGACCTAATTCAGAGGTGGGATAAACTTTCCGGACTGTGAGTCTTTCTTTTAACTCTTTTCTAAATACCTGTGACTTTTCCAGCATCCTTTTTTAAGACTTGAGATCACTGTACTCCAGAATTTCTCATGCACCTTACAGAGAAGTCCAACCAAGAATACATTCCTGTACACACATATAATAATACTGCCTCCCTATTCCTGCTACCCATCCTCTCACTGACATTCCCAATAAACAGAGCTCACCTTCACAGACAATATGGACAGAAGGGCTGTGGACAGACCTCAGCTCCTCTGTGTGCTGTTTGAGCTGAAGTCTGCTGTGATCCAGAGCTATACAACTGAGTAAGGCCTGGTAAGAGCAATGGGTATGCAGGGGATACTAGTTTAGGGACACGGATATCATAATGCATCTATGGGGACATCTGGACTAGAAGTAGCATGACTCTAACTTGTAACATCAGCAAAAGACCTTGGATGTGTAAGCAACTATCTGTGTAAATGTGCCCACAGATACCACTTGAAATAGCTTTCCTTGTGGTCAGACTCTTGGAGATCTTATGTCCAATATACAGACATTTAAGAGATTAAAAGTGATGTAACATATACACAGAAGATCAGTTAGTGAAGTGAAAAAAGTCCAGAGGCTCCTGAGAGACCAGCGGACAAGTATCAATCACATCAACCCTGCTGAAGTCAGGTTAGTTTCACTGCTTTACAAGAGCTGAGGATCTGGCCTTGCCAGGGTAAACTAAAGGTGTACTGTGAAAACAGATGCTAATAGTAACTTCATTTGGCAGCTCAGGGCAAGAGCCTTATCCCTGGATGTTGCCTTTATATTAATTTGATAATTTCCATATCTCCACGAGAAAAATCCTGCTTAGATACAATTGTCTCTTTGCAAGATGATCCTGGCCAAGATGCCACAAGGTGACCATGGCAGATAACCTTCCATAAACCTGGAGACATAAAACAAGCCAATGACCTACTATATGGCCATAAATATAAATTTAACGAAGGCAGCACTTATTCATTAGGCAGAAGTCAAGAAATGACTCCCAAGTCCTTCAAAGAAAGTAGATCCATTAATGTCACTTTCTGAATCCTCTGCCTGATGCCAAAAAACAAGGATGATTTCCCAAGTCAGCACGAAATATCAGTACTTTAAAATTAACACCAGGAAGCTTTCTTACTACTGATATATCTATAGCCTGAAGTCCAACTTTTTAAAGGGGCATTCAGCTAGTGTTAGCGACAGCATTTAGCTTCTGTCAAAGAATAAAAGGATGGAGGTGACAGAATGAAGCACATCATTGTTAAAAAAAAAATAAAAACAGTTTAAGTGACTCTATAAGGAATTCCTCCTGAAATGCTGGTAACTCAGCTGCTGTGTCCACAAGTGAGCTGTTATGTGGGTTCCCGGGTGAAAATCCTCGTAGGACAGAAGAGCTGGAGTCTGCCCTGGTGCTCAGTGGTGTAAACCAAGAGAAGCTGCACTGAAGTCAGTGGAAGCAGTGAAGTTAGTTTGAGCTGGCTCCCACTGCATCAAAGTGGGGGTCTTCAGTTTTCCTTGGGGGTTGGATTGAAATTGTCTACCATGCAGTGTTAACTGTCCTAACTTTTGGGGTAAAAGCAAGCCAAGGAAACATGCTGTCTGAAATCAGGGAGCCCTGACTCCTCCAAGAGACAAAAGCAGGTTGTGGCACATTTTTAGCTCCTAAGATGACCTGGCATTTCACTTCTGTGGAAAGAGTCATCAACCTTTACACCAATATGATATCCACTCCCTCCCCCACCTCCTACTTTTGAAGGACTCTGCATTTCCTGACAGAGAGGACGTGGTTTATTCCATCTATATATTTCACACTATTTTGCAGCTCTGCTCCCTGTATGGGTCTACAACTTTGTGCTATCACCATGATTCTCAGCTTTGTGCTCTGCCCCATCTATTCATTCCCCTCACAATCTCTTTAGGTATTTTATACATCTCCTCAGAATAGCAGCTTTGCCATCTTAACTTCCGGGAGGGTGGGTTGAGGAGGAGAGCGATCAAAGAGGCAGCACTAGTTGTTCGGTGTGGGGGGAATAAAATGATAGTCAAGAAAAAAAAATCTGTGTGAAGGCCAGGATTAAAATAAATAAATAAATAAATGAGTGGGAGGGCTCTATTCACCTTCTCCTTAAATCCAATTTAAATCACTCTCTACAGCCCTAATCTATATCCATAATTATATCATTTCGTGCAACAAGCTTGTGAGAGGTCTTAAGAAATTTATGTAGATTAAAATTCATGGGTGCCCTAGTACAGATTCCATATTATTAAGATTGATTAGGACAGCTGATGCTGTGATTAAAGAAGCCAGCGTTTACTGTTGTAATTAATTAGGTATTCAGACACAACAATAACTGCAATAACAGAAAGAATGTGCTGATCCGGCAGAAAACGACTGATCCTGTGTTTTATAGTCTCATTTTGCCATATAGGGGCTGGACACCACACAGTCAAAGACATGTTGTCCTACTGTCTCTTCTTGCAACACATCAAGGCAGCTATGAAGTCCAGGACGTTTGTGCCCCCTGCTCCTTCCTATGGGTTGCAGAAGCCTTTTTGTAGCATCCCCAGGTATTTTTGATGCTTGTTTGGAACAGTAAATGGGCCTACAATTAAAGACATATAGCTCATTGCTAGAATCAGGATTATCTTTGTTATAATAGTTCTGCCTTTGAGCCCATCCCTAATTAGGGCCCTGCTGAGATGGGTGCTGTGCAAACACACTGTAGGAGACATGTCTGGCCATGAAGAGTTTCTACTGGACAAAATGAGAGAGATACAAAAGAATCAGAAATGCAAATAGGGGCAGATTTTTTGCCAATTCAACACCAGAGTCCGTTACTTCCCTCCCTTTGCCTGAGTATGTAAACACGTAAATTAGTGTGCGATTTTAAAAGCTATTAAACTCCCTGTATTTTGGGAGAGCTTAGCTTAAGTCACATTTCAAAATAAAATTTGAGATCTTAACTTACTTAGGTGCCTCTGAAAACATTAGCACAATGCCTGCCTTGTATTTACACCTTCTTCCAGACCAGAAGAGAAAATATTTTGGCTTTGGAAAGGCTCCCACAGCTGCCTTAAGCAACTTCATTCATTATGGCTGCTGCAGGATCGTTGGAAGTACATGGCATCATTAAAGTACCTTAGACTACAATTGAAGATGGCAACTTGTTATTATATTTTTAATGAGTGCATTCTTTCACTTATTTATTTTACCAGTAAACTGTGGTTTATGGCACATGGCAGATTGTTACAAATGGGTCAAATAAATGCTTCCCAGTCATAACGATGTTTTAGGTGCTCACTGAAGCATTTTTGGAACTGCTGATGTAGAATATGAAAGGGAAAGCGCTCACCAGGGATTTAGGGTGGACAAATACAATGAAGCCAAAGTTTTCCTGTAGCAAGTAAGTTAGTCTTGGGGCCTCTGAACCAGAAAGATTTCTAAGATATTATATATATAACTGCAGCAAAGGCTTTGGGGCTTGGTTTTCCTCTTAGATCTTCTACTGATGTAGGGAGATGATTTTTTTTCTGTCCTTCTGATTCACATTCTTTCTAAGTACCTCTTACCTGACATCTGTCAGGATGCCCAATGCCACTCACTGATATCTATCCCGATGCCATCTGATAGTATCTACCACAATCAGGAATGATCCTGTGTCCAACCGGTCCAGAGCAGCTGTGGGCCCAACCGCAGTACTGCAAGCTAATTGACAAGGTAATGGAGAAGGCTGTCAGATTAGCATGCTGGCAGCTCTGCCCCTGCAAAATTAGCTTGGGTAATGAAAATAATTACAGATGGAGTCTGAATCCTGTCTCTGCTGCAATGGGTGAAATTGATTCCTGCCGGGTAGCTCTGTGTTGATGCAGGGAAAATGAACTGATGGTCTCGATTCAACTCCTAAGACATGAGTTTCTACAGAACAAGAATTCACCCATGGGGGACACCTTTGTTGCAAGTCTCAGTGGTGGCTTGGAAACATGTGGGCATCAAGGCCTGGCTGCCCATTCGTATTGACAGCTAGTCCTCCCTAGAGAGGACTGGGCCTCAAAGTAGGGTACAAAGTGGAAGCGTGCTGTCTTTTTGCCCAGACATACCCTTTCTGTAACCTGTAACCAAGGATTTCTGAGGTGTGTACATGCGAGGAATTATAAAGCTATTCCTGGCGGTCGTGGCAGCCAAAAACTGTACTACTGTGTCCACGCCTGAGAACAGTGAATGAGACGACATGTTTAAAGGGATTATGAACAACAGATGAAATTCTTCTTTTGTTTCCACAACCTAAGTCCAGGCTGAACGCACTGAAGAAACCAGTGTACTGGAAAGCACTCTCCATCAGGGTTCCATAAAGCTGTCAAATCACATTGTTTATCCCTTGCTCTGGTCAAGCTGAACATTTCCTGGCCCATGAGGAAGAACCTTGTTTGGAGGCTGCTGGTCACCGTGGGATCTATTTCTGATTCTTTCTGTGGGCACATCCTTGGCAGAAGAGCACAGGGCAGCGTTCCCTGGTTTCTGGATGCTGAGGGTGTGCTCTGCTCCATCTCCCCTTCTGATTCCCTCATTCTGAGCCCCTGATCCTATGACTTCCACTCCTCTCTCTCTTTCATTTGCTGCCCCTTGCACTCCCAGTGTTCTGACTTCTCCCTTCTCCTTCTCTTCCCAGGAAAACTATTACTTTTGCAGCAAGCCCTTTGGCCAGTTCTGATAGAATCCAGTAAGGACAAGACCCATTACCAGAAAGCAGAGGGCTAATGGTGTGAGACACAACAGAAACCAGGCCAGAAGATAGTCACTATTGTCATATGCCATAAAGTGTTACAAGAGAAGCACTGATTTCTTGGTGGCTAGGAAGCTCTGACAGAAGAGAGCAATCCCTGTTGCTATTGCTCATGCGGAAATGGTAAATGCTCTTGTGCAGCTGCAAAATGGTTCAAAAGATTATGGCACAACAGATTATGCTCTTTGTCCCCACTATATGCTGTGACATACTGCCATGCTCAATACTGCTACAAGCTGAAAGACTAAAGGGCAGACATTAATAAACCAAAAGGCCAGTCACCGAAGGGTGACTAGTGGGACTAGTGGGAGGGGAAATATTTGCTCAGTTGTGTTTCTGTCCCTGCCAGGAAGTGCAACATGAGGCGTTATGTGCTGGTCAGGCCAGGAGAGGGTGAAAGCATGGCTTACAAAGAGCATGCATTCTGCAGTCACTTAATGAAAAATATTGTACCTACACACAAAGGTGGACATGTAGCCAAACTGTACGATGAAGGAGTTTTATTTGGGTCTGAACTGTGTGGATGTCATGCCTCTACAGATTTTGATTGTCCTGGTTTGTTATTTTCAGGAAACAAAGCACATATTGCTGCTGCATATAATGGCTTTAACTCACATTTGAGTTTTTTGTGGATTATGAAAGAGTATCTGAGAGCAAAATGCAGGCATTAAACAATATATGGCTTCATAACCATAGAAAGACTATGGTTATGTACATAATATTGACACAGTCATGTTTGCTTTTACTGCTTGAGATATATAATAAAAGTTGTTTGGAAGATGCTAACTTGGTACAGGGAATGGTATGTTCTTTTCATCTCTACATTGTTAGTGCAATTGCCTACTGAACTTTAATATTTTATTTCTACACTCGCATTTAGAAAGGCAGACACACAGAACCACAAGGCAGTGCCAATATCAGATGCTGCAGAGGAAACTGTGAGAAATATCATAATGAACAAGGATGGAATAAGCTGCCCAGTGATGAAAATTTCTTTCTAACTCCAAGCATTTAGTGGCTGGCTTATATTATAAAGCATGAAGGCTTGTGTCCTTTCTACAGTTTTATCCAGTCTAATGCAACTGTGGATATTCTCATTATCCACATACAAATGTCTAAACCTTTTTTTTTTTTTTATGTGTAATCCTCTTTATTTATTTATTTAATGCTGCTAAGCTTGAGGTCTCAATAAAGCCTGTGGCAAGGAGTGAAGTTTTGGAGAGTACATAAATGTTCATGAGAAGGGATGACAATAAAATGGAACAAACACATGATATGTCCAACACCAAAGCTACTACAAAGAAGCTTGATTTCAGGGTTTCATTGCTAGTGAGGACAAGCAGAGGTAAGTAAGTGGTAAGCAAGCAGTTTTGCCTACCACTGTTCCCTCTATACCTCTGCTGTAATTTAGGACACTAGTAATCTATGGGGAAGCTGAACAGTAAGAAAGACCAGTGTACTGCTGAAGACATGCCCAGATAAATCTGAACTTTACATAAACCAAACTGTGCATGTTAGCTTTTATCTGCAGAAATGACCCTCTCTACCTGGGAGCAGAGGTTTCTTCTGGATGCCTCAAGCTTTGACATTCTTTAAGTTTTGTTGAGTTTCAGTTATTTTCTCATGCCTGCTCCTCGAACTAAAATGTGGACCACCCCAGGAAATGTAATTAGGATGCCTTGTTGTAGACTGGCATCCACCCAGCCTAGACCCACCAGAAGGTCCAGAGCTTGTAAGTTGTAGTTGAAAAGAATCTTTGTCCTGCTTGGGCTGCCAAGGCAAGGTACGAAGATCATAAAACTATGTCAAGAAGCCAGTGTTCCTAGGCCTGATCTTTTATAATAGCAAATCTTTTATAATAGGATTTGGCCCATTACTTGGAGAAGTAAATGTTGTACTTCAGCTCATCACCAGAATTCCTGAAGGGAAGCAAGGATGACTATCACCTCTGAGGTGTGTTAAGGTGGTGTCTGGGCAAGGTCTTAATGGTGAATTGCTGGCTGAGTGAATCTTTCTAAAAATCAGACAGAATCAGATTCAGGGCATTGAGTTTTGTATAATCTTAGATGACATACTTAAACCATTCTTAATACTTTGGGGAATTTGGAGATGGTAACAAAAGCTATCACTAAAGTCATTAAGATTCATCTGGAAAGATCATCTTTTCTCTGATATCTACAATAATGTATCATGGAAGATTAGCAAAAACAAACCAGATAGAGAAAAAAAGATAAACATGAAAATAGATGGATAAACAGATAGATGATAGACTGGCAAACAGGTAGATACTTAGACAGATGGTAGATGAAGAGATGCATACATTTATATAACCTTAAAGAATGGGGGCTTTCTTGCTGCTGTGGTTGAGTTCACTGAACACACTGAGGCTTCCTGCAATCTCCTGATGCCTCCATAAGATGCCAAGAGGCATCTTCCCATCCCTCTTCTGTTTCTAACAATCCCAGCTATTTCAAAGACCTCATCTGCCACAGGCTCTGTACATCCATCAAATGCCATATACTGAAATGTCTTAGTAGGGCTCAGAGATGCTACAAATGTGTACACATGCCTAACTTTTAGCATGCTAAATCCCTTGATTTCAATTCTGCTTAAAGATGAACTCACAACTAAATGTTTACAAGGTTTGGGGACAGGTAGAATGATAAACAGCTATTTTTTCTCTATCTGGGCGATTTCTGGGCTTTCTTTTGCTGCATTTGCAGCTCTTTTAGTGACATTGTCTGAGCAGTAGATAGGTAGGACTTTTGTATTTCTATGATATTTTTCCCCCATAGCTTGTAAAATCCCCAGTGATGTTGAATCTTCTGATTTTTTCAGGACTGGCTGACATCAAAAGTTTTTTTTTTTTTTTTTTTTTTTCCCTTTTTGGTTGGGGTTTTTTTTTTCGGGTTTTGGAGGAGGCAGTTGTAAATTGACCCTGAAAAAATGTAGGTGCACATTAAGGCCTTGTGAATTCCTGAGCTCTTGATGACTATAGCATGCATATATTGATAAGCAATGGTAGAGGTTTAGGTGTATATCCTTTAATGTCCCTAATTCATTCCTGACTGCCAAAACTTGCAAAGTCACCCTCTGATATCTTTTGAACTAGCTACAGTCTTAAAATCCTAGAAGCAGTTGTGCAGTGTACCCCCCAAAAAGGTGAGGCTGAACCTGCTCTGTGGCTATATGAGAGGAACTTCAGTGTCAGTAAGGTAGAGGGACTGGGTGCAGTCAGTGTTTCAGGGACCGATGTTCCCTGGGACCATATTCTGGACTTCCCCCACCATATCCTGCTGTCTGCAAATGAATCCCAGAGGGAGCTACCGATGGTGGATGGTAAGAGATGCAGTAATCCTTTGGGGGCACAGGCTTAGCACTGCTCCTTCAAGACTGGCCAAGAGCAACCTCCCATGAATTCTACCTGGCAGATATGTCAGCTGATTAAGTCTCAGCTCAAATCTTCACTATATTCACCACACAAGTTTTCCTGGAATACATCAGAGGAGCACTCCATTCTTCAGCAGGTGAATATTCCACCCCCAACACAGATTAGACGTCTGCCATCCAGATTTAAATGCATAACTTTTAGACATCCGCAGCCAGGTGAGATGGATCCCAACCCTTGGCCGAGATGTAGCAGCAATGCTAGAGTGAACACAGATTGAAGGAGCAGGCTGTGGGCACAGCAGTGGTCTGGCTTACCTGGATAAGGGTGGATACCATTAGCAAACACAGCTTCTGTGGCAGGCTGCCCATTAGCCTGCAGCAGGAGGCCGGTGAAACCATTCGCCCCAATGGGAGATGGGATGCTAGGCACAGCTGGTGCAGTTATGCCAGGAGGCGTGCTTCCACCTGCAAGTGGGCAGAACACAAAACCAGAGCTGGTGAGTACTGGAAACCATAGCTAGGAGAAAGTTACTGACATGACAGCTCTCACCACTACATGGAAGCCTTCTGCTAAGGCAAGAAAGTAAGTCTCAAGATTACCCAAAACTATCTCACAGAGAAAGGGACTGCTTGCACTGCCATAGGCAGGCTTGCCATTGCTAATCTAGTTGGAAAGCACTTAACATGAGAAAAGTTTATAAAACTATCTTTAACAGAGCGAAGCTTTTGTTTGCTGGTCATTGTCTCTAGACTAAAGCTGATGTAAAGCAATGGAAGAGAGTGGAAATAACCCCCTTCCTCGCCCACACAAGGAATATGCCCTGTTTAATTGTTAAATAATGTGGCATTTCTTTCCTAGATACCATTTAGCACCAAAGGCAAACCCTCGATCCCAGCTTTCTACAAGAGCTCCTCTCAATTTCTCTTAGGAGATGTCAGCTTTGTGGGCTGTTTGCACATTCATGTATATGTTTCATGTATAACTTTGCTCTGAACTTCTTCAGCATCTTAGCAAGTTTGGCAGGTCTATTTGTAGCCTAAAGGCATCCAGTGATATTTTTTTCAGCTTTGCTGTTTGACCCAAGCCTCAAAATTTAGTAGAATTTTAGTAGTAGAGGCAAAAATTGGGCTAGATTAATTTCTTTCATGGAATCACATCCTTCCCCTCTTTCTTGGACCCATCTGAAGTGGGGGAGGGCTGCAACAGTGCTGCTTCTCAGTAACCTTTATCACAGAATGGTTGAGGTTGGAAGGGACCTCTAGAGATATCTAGTCCAACCCCTTATCTTTAAGTTTGGGGCAGGATCCTCTTACCCATTGGTAAAAATCATTATAACTCCAAGGAGACAATTGAATCCTCTGTTATCTTATCACCTTCTATTTATTTTTATAATGACTGGATGTTCTACTCTTCTAGCAAAGTACTCAGGATACTTTTGGGACCCAAAAAAAGTTTTCAATAATTATCAAATAATGTTTCTCTTTTGCCAGCTTTAGGCATGAAGTTAAAAATTCTCCTGTCTTATCTTTGGCAATATGTTTCTGTGTCACAGTATATTACTGCCTGAAAGGACCGTTTGTGCAAGAACTCCTTTTTTAAACCACAGCAGTGTCCAATGATTAAATCTGTGCTGTTGCTTTAAAAGAGCCAATACAGATTCATGATCTTTTTGTCTCAATATATTCTTGTTTGAGTAGTCCAGAAAAAAAGACAATATTTTAACTCATTTCTGATACCCTGAACAGACAAGCTACTGCTGCCCCTTTTCTTATTCAAATGGTGTTGGCCTTTAAAAATGTGCTCTGTGGAGGTGTAGGGCGCCAGTGGTGGCAACCAGAGTACAAAGACAATGCTCTTAGCATATGCCATCGGCTTGCAAATCCCAAAGGCTAGTTAAAATTTCAGTTGCTTTTCTGGATCTCTCCTCTATTTGCACAGATAATGTAAGACTTTTTTTTCCTAAAATTGCAGCAAGGGATTTGTGCTTGCCGTTTTGTGTGTGAGTAAGGAAGTTTAGGCATATTCATCAAAATTCTTTGATTTTCTTCTTATAACAGCCCCCCTTGAGAGGTCAGATCTGCAGATGCAGCAAAACTGGCACAATGCCACCACAGAAAGCACATGGCATTGGTGCATGCCAGTTGCAAATTACATCCCCAGGTTGAGATATCTTGTTCCAGCTCTATCAGATGCAGATTTACAGCATGGAGGGAGGGAGGAAGGCAGAAGAGGAGGAAGGAAGGAAGACCAAATTACCTTTCATTATTAGCCTCACCTGTCCATTTAACACTAAGTGGCATAGTATGTATGGTCATATGAGGAGATTGCCACCTTAAAACTGGGAGAGCTACTTCTTTCAGATTATACCAATAATGGGAGAAATACAAAACTTGCACTGAACTTTCAGAAACATCAAATTAATATCCTTACAATTGCAGACAACTGTGGGAGCTAAACGTGAGTCTTGATGGGGAACTTTCAAAATGCCACTAGACAGCATAAAGTTATCACAGAATGATTAAGGTTGGAAGGGACCTTTGGAGAGCATCTAGTCCAACCCCCCTGCACAAGCAGTGACAGCGACAGCACATTGCACAGGGTCGCATCCAGGCTGGTTTTGAATATCTCCAGGGAAGACTTCACAACCTCTCTAGTCAATCTACTCCAGTGCTCGGGCACCCTCATAGTCAAAAGGTTTTTCCTCAAATTCAGGCGGAACTTCCTGTGCTTCAGTTTGTGGCCGTTGCCCCTTGTCCTATCACTGGCCACCACTGAAGACAGTCTGGCCCCCTCCTCTTGATATCTTCCCTTAAAGTATTTAAACACATTGATAAGATCCTCTCTCATCCTTCTCTTCTTTAGGCTGAACAGGCCCAGCTCTCTCAGCCTTTCCACATAGGATATTTAAGTCCCTTGATCATCTTTGTAGTTCTACACTAGACTCTCTCCAGTAGCTCCATGTCCCTGCTGTACTGGGGAGACCAGAACTGGACACAATACTCCAGATGTGGCCTCACCAGGACTGAATAGAGGAGCAGGATCACCTTCCTTGACCTGCTGGCAACACCTGCTGTTCCTAATGCACCCCAGATACCAGTGGCCTTCTTGGTCACAAGGACACATTGCTGGCTCACAGTCAACTTGTCCACCATGATGCCCAGGTCTTTCTCTGCAGAGCTGCTCTCCAGAAGGCCAACTGCCAGCCTGTACTGGTGCATAGAGTTATTCCTCCTTAGGTGCAGGACCCTGCACTTGCCTTTGTTGAACTTCATGAGGCGCATTTCCGCCCTGCTCTCCAGCCTGTCAAGGTCCCTCTGAATGGCTGCACAACCCTCTGGTGTATCAGCCACGCCTATCAGTTTTGTATCATCATCAAATTTGCCTTCATCCAGTTCATTGATGAATAAATTGAATTGAATATTGTCTGGAATTATCCTCTGGGACTATCTGCTGCTCTCCTTTATATGCAGGCAAGCCAAAAGGCTAGCTTAAACTAAACATCTAACTCATAGATGATTAAAGATAAATTATATGAATCCTGTTTCTAGTATGGTAGTTGTGCCTGGATACAAGACTCCTGAAATTCCCATGTCCTGGGAATTCATCAGCATGAACTCATGGTCATGCCCTGAGGAACCTACTCTCCTGGAAGGGGGAAGTACAGAAAACCAGCTGGATTAGGAATGCAGGAGAAGCAGGTTCTGTTTTCTACAGCTTGCTTTGTAGACTCAAAGAAAGGTGAGGACACAAGAGGCTTTAAGATACCAGCACAAAGGCACAATGCTCAGCCAACGCCTTCAGTGCCTCCAGGACTTCTGGATTCCCGGTGTCCTTTTTCTAGCACAATTTTCCTTCTGCTTAGAAAAGATCAAAACTTTTTTTTTTTTCCAAATCTCCAAGTTCTTTTTCTAATGCTTTTTTTTTTTTTCCAGAGAACTTTGAAATTTTCATTCCAAGTGAGAACAAAGATATACTTCAATGACTGGAAATCCTGCTATGAAACAGAATGATCATTTTCCATTTGGCTTTCTGAATGCTAACAAAAGCCAGCAGGAGAATTCATGTAAGGCTTCAAATATCTCCTGGTTACTCATGAATTGCTCCTAGTATTGTAGTCTTGCCTGCTCAGACATATGTGAAACATATTTTTTATGCATCTAATCTCAAGCTTTGTGAGTGTTGCAGTAATACACAGAGTCATTTCAAAGTCTAAACATTTCAACCAAAGAAAAAAAAAATTGTGAATGGACATTTCAACAACCCATTACAGAGGTTTGTCATGAAGGAAGTTACCCATCCATAGGTGCATAGGTTCCATGACTGAAAATATATTGTAGGAGGAGTGCAAAACTCGCTGCCATGAAATCTGCTGCCCAGAGAGGTTGTGGAGTCTCCTCCTTTGGAGATCTTCCAAACCTGCCTGGATGCCACCCTGTGCCACATGCTCTAGGTGTCCCTGCTGGAGCAGGGGGGTTGGACTGGATGATCTCTAGAGGTCCCTTCCAACCTTAACCACTCTGTGATTCTGTCATTCTGTGAAATAGGTCAAGGGGTCATTTAATCCAGTATTGTATTTTTAGTCATGGGTACTCTGAAAAACATGTAAAGACCATGAGCCTTCCCTGCCCATACTCTGACAATAAGAGTTTGTCTCTGAAGGGCATGGGGCATCTCAGAAGAGATGCAGAAGCTGCAAAAAAGAAGAGTTGAGTTATTTTTCATATGCTACATATCATGGCAGGCACACAATTTGGTTGATACATTGATATTTACATACCTATGTCATAGAATTCATTCTCAAGACTTATCTATATGCAAAAGAGGTTGTGTTCTTTTGTGGTGGGGCCATCACAAATCACAGCCTGGATTCAAGCTTTTCAGGCCCTGAGAGCATTTGAATTCCAGGCATTCTTTGTTTGACGTTCTCTCTGCTCCCACCAACACAAAACAAATCTAGCTAATGCAAATATGATAATCTTTCCAGCAGAGGGTTTATAGGGTGCACATATAATTAAGCCACTTTTCTTTTTGGATTTTCAGTAGCTCCATCAACTTGTTGTTTATATATTTAACGTTGTGTAAACATACATTTTGAAATGTATGGTGTAAGATTTTTGAGTCAAGTGCTTTTCCCTGTCTATCCATAAGCTGCTAGGGAACAAGATATCATTTTCTTTCTTTCTTTCTTTCCTTCCTTTGTATCTTCCTTCCATTTTAAAAATATTTTATTTTTTTCTCCCTTATTTTCTAGTATAATCAAAGAGAAAAATAGT